CTTGCAAAAAGTTAAATCCACCCTTGAACGGCTCGATAACACACTCGACTGAAGGATCTGTGTTCTTTTCTAAGCTTACAGTTTCACTTGAAGACACAAACTCAAATGCTTCTGAAATCCTCCTGGCCGGAGCAGGCTCACAGTTGATATCTTTTGGACTTGAGATAACTGTAGTTGTAGTCTTTTCAGATTCTTTTTTTTCTATAGTGTCTTCTCGACCATTCAAAAAATTATTTACAAGGGGCTGGCCTAGTAAGTGCATACAAACAGAACGGGCCTCTTTAAACGTACAAATACGTTTTGGAAGAGAGCTGGCTGGGCCGATCTTGCCTATTACAGGGATGAATTTGAAACTTCCAGTAAGTAGATTATGCAGATTTTCGGCTGCCTTTGTATAATCATCGCTTCGTAACAAAATTTCTTTAAGCTTCAGCGAATCAGTGCAAACGTCTTGGCTTAAATCGGGGAGTGGGGGATGGACAGCAGACTTCACCCGGTCTAGCAACAGAAGTTGTTGATCACTTATATAATTGAGTGCAATACTTCGCAGTCTAGGGTTCTTGAGTTTTTCAAACAAAGGATAAAAATAGAGGTACTCCACGAAATTTTCAATGAGATACTCTTGTTTACGGCATTCATCAATTTCTGTTTGCCTTTTTTCAGACGAATCAAGAGCTTTTATAAGTTGATTTGATTGAGAAATAACTTCTTGGACGACAACAACATTTTGGACGACTGCGTCATAACTTTCGAGTGCCTTCCTCTGATCATCTCTAAGACTTTCACCTTTATTTAATCTTTCCTTAAAGCCATCTAATTTTGACTTAAGTAAAGATAGAAAATAACATTGTACTTTACCTTCCGTTTTTGCAGATTTCTGTGCTTTTTTTCAAAGGAGGTAACGAATTCCTTGACTAAATCTACGGAGGACAAGGACTCAGGGGTATTAGAAACGGGCATGACAGACAGTGAAGGCGCGCTAGTTTGATATGATCACCAACAATAAAACATATTAAAACAAAAATAATCAAATAAAAATATTATTAAATTAATTTGTATATTTTTTTTACAGTGGCTTTAAATAATTTATCTAAACAAACAGTTATCCACCTGTGCACT